ATCAGCTGCTCATCAGCAGATTATCAGGATAAGCTGCTTATCAGCAGAAGCTCGATAAGCTGCAGCTGCCCCAAACAGACCCGTAATTAACTATGAGAGTTTGTCCTTTAAGGGACACTAGACCCCAAAATAAAATAAAAATTATCTTACACACGTAAGGTAAGGGAAAAAACTAATTTAATTAGACTCATAAGTCTTAAAAGCTTTTTATCATCGAATGATTATGTCAATTTTTATAATAACATTTCTTCTCTTCGGGGAGATATATTATTCATTAAATTTTGTATCTCATCATTTAGATAGAAATCTTTTAATGTCTACGAGGGAGACATCAACCCATAAGAAAAATTCTCCACCAATAACAATTGAGACTCACAAGCACTCACCGGTTGACCACTTTTCCTTGATGCCAAATAATAAACCTTCAAGTTCAAAAAAAGAAAGAGTTACCATGGTTTGAGCAAAGGTGACTAAGGATTAAGAGGCCACAACGAAGGCTCGACTGACTAAGGTAGAGGAGGAGCTAGAAAGCGCATTAGATCAACTTTATGTAATTCGGGAGGAGAATGACATTTTTTCAAAAAGTCATCCATAACAATGATTACTTGGCATTTTCATATGGTTAGGCCAGACATCACCTGCTCGACACAAAGCTGATAATCAACCAATTTGTGTGGGTTGAACTGGTTTAGATAAAATATGCCAATCCCAGTTATTCACCAAGTTTTTTTCCATTCCGTAGGCCGAGGCAAGAAGGGAAGTAGAGTTCAAGGAAGATAATTTGGTGATAAGTGTCTGTCATGTGACATATCATTTTTATCTTGACTATATTTTCCTTACTGTTTATTATTTATACCGTGTTTGCGATGCTAAACTGCTCATCCCTTACGAGAGTCTTTTTGATTGGTTCTAATGTGTTCGCCGTCCAACTCAAGCCTTATACAAACTCCTTCTCGTATGTTCGGTCGAATCAAGTAGGCAAATATGAGCAATCGATCAACTAGACTTAGTTAGCTTTATGGTAGCAAGACAAACTCGATAGGTTAGACTTTTTCTGATCAGTTGATCTAATCTGATTATTGAACATTAATCCATTAATGAGAAGCACTTGTCAGTAGAAAGAGACCGGGCTATTGAGCAGAGGGTAAATCACTACAACCTGATAGATAACTAATTCATTGACAAGGGAGTCCTTCAGAATGATTAAAAGGCTCCATTGTATTTTTATTTCATTGTCCCTTATGAGGAACCTCAGGGACATCCATGAGATAACAAAAGATGACGAGGAACCAGATTATTTCCTTAAGTCAAATATACTGAGAGTTAAAACAATGCCTTCACCTTGCTTTCCAGTGGTATTTATCTTGAAAGCTTCATGTCTTGCTTTAGTATGATGGATTCAGACTTGGATAATTTTTCTTATCATTCTCTTTGTTCGATCAACCTTCTTCGTTGACTCGGATGGCTGCATCTAATTATATGAGTGGGTCTTTTAGTCTCCTGCCAGTGAGCCCTCTCTAATTATACTTCATTTCTTTTAGACCGTAGGAACTTCTCTTGATCCGTGCTGACACATTCTTAATGTGCAACCATCATAACTTTATTTTTTGAAATATATTTATGTAGCTTATTTATATTATGGGCAATCATATTTATGCTGTGTAAAACAAACCATCATCAAGTGTCATCATAAAAAAAAATGCCTTGGATAAAGTTGTAATCGTCTTAGCTGTTCAAAAAAGTTTTGACTATCAATTTTGAGAAGTATTCAACGATTTTACACAATCATCAATAAATAAATCAATCGAATGAACAAACATAGCTAATCATTGCATCACACTCAATCAAAAACACTTATTATATTTTTACCATCAATATTTAAGCACATTTTTTTCTTGGAAGTTAAATAAATTCAAAAAATTTAATGGTAATAAAAAAGTAGCCAACACTACATTGCACCATTTAGACCATTCACAAGGACAATTAAAACATTTCCCATTAATAGAGGGAGAGAAAACCTCCACTCTACATTTGGCACTCACAACATACACTTTAAAGTCTATCTAGCAAGCTACTACATAAAATACTTAATTATAAATGTAACCATAACATAAATAACGCAATAATATATAGTTGGAATAGGAAGTCGTGAATGCGCTTCTGCCACATAACACCAACACCATGCGCCTCCTTCCTTACCTACAGACCCCCACCATCTTTCCACTCGAACCCTCGGCAAGAAATCGGGGCTTTTTTCACAGCCGCAGTGGAAGCCTGCTCCATCTTTCACCGCCCCTCGCTTCCCCTCTCTGAATTCTCGATTTTCATGTTTGGGCACCTGTTGTTTTCTGCTTGGGCCGGTTTCCGAGCGCTGGATGGCACCGAGCCGTCGGAAAGGATCTACAAGAACGTCAGCGGCGGCGGCGGCGGCGGCTGCGCTGCAGCAGTGGAAGATCGGTGATCTTGTTCTCGCGAAGATGAAGGGATTCCCGGCGTGGCCGGCTATGGTACGTCTGCCTTTCCTTTGCGTAAAAGCTTATTGGTTTCTTGGTTAGGCCGGCTTGATTTGCTAGGGTTTTTTTCTTTTTTTCTTTTTCTAGTGTTTGATTTGGTCTAGGTTTTTTTTTTCTTGGGTCGATCAAGTGGTTGGATGGCAGAAAGGATGCTGGGGGTTGTTGTTTGATGAACTTTTTTATTGTTCATCTCCTTTGTCCTATTTTTAATTTTTTTTTGTTTGTTTGGATGGTTTCTGCCCTTTGCATGTTTGATGTGGGCTAACGTTAACGTTATCTTATTTTTCAAGTCTTTCTTCTTTCAACTTTGTCAGATAAGTGAACCTGAGAAGTGGGGATTCTCATCCGATCGTAAGAAGCTCCTTGTTTACTTCTATGGGACCAAACAAATGTGAGTAGTATATTACTGCGTTTTTTTAAGGCCTTTTAACGGTAGGTTTTGAATGAATTTTCTGAAAAAAAGTTCGGGCTGTTTTTTATAGAGTTTAGCTGCTTAATTTTTGTCTTGTTTGTGAGATTGTAGTTGTTTCTGCTGTTTAGTTTTTGCAAATTGATGCCTTTTTTTAGTTTTATTCATTCTTATTGCATTGAAAGTTTAGTATTTTTCTCACATAACAGTGTAGTCCAGATCTCCTTCCTTTTTCTTATTGTGTATGAGATTATTTTTTCAACTATTCCTTTGCCATACTATGGAAGCATCAATTTATGTTTCACTTCTTTGAACGTTGGAATTTGTCCATAACTTCTGACTAGAGGATTGACGCAGGGGCTGGAGGCCTGACCTGCCAAATCGGTTCAACATGGAGGTTGAACCGGACTCAACCCTGCTTAAGGTTGGGGTTTGCCACCCAAGGGGAGTGGTTTCCCCCTCCTTGTTATCCTTTATTATAAATATACAGTTTTCTGTGTTAGGGTGAGCTACTAAAGGAATATCAGCCAATATCAGCCTTCAGCGTCCCCTTATTCTGTTATAGTGATGTATCCGAGTGCGAGAATATGCTACAACTGTAACTCATTCTGAGGTGGTGTGTATCCTTCCCTTTTTCCTTGGCTTCCTCGCTGCCATCCACCCCCACACCCCCATAGCCACAACAGCCTCTTCTACTCTTCCCTTCCAGGTTGGCTGCTGTTAAACCCATCCCCCTCCCTGTTTATTGCCGCTAGGCTCAACCAACCTGCTGCAAACTATCGTTAACCTCATCCTCCTACCTGCTTACTGCAACAAGGTCCAATCCGCATCGGTCCATATGGTCATGCCCCCTTCCCCTTTCCCCGCCACTATCCAACATCCAGCCTCCCCCCCATCCACCCACTCAAACCATCCAACCCATCACCAGTTTGCTGTCTTTCCATTATACAACCTTTCATAGCTTTTACTTCCCCTCAAACCGCTACACCACCACCCTGACCTAGGCCCTAGTTTATGCTTGTGTCATTGTGTTCCTGTTTTCAAGTGTCTTGCATGTAATCTCTTTTAATTTCAACAATAAAAGTATTATTCTGTTGTGGTATTGCAATAACTCTGGCATCAAGGAGACTGAAATTTTAAAATGACTTTTTGTCAAGTTGCCTTTATTTGCTTGCCTTAGTTTTTGTGTATGCAGTTTGCTGAATTGCATATATGTCCCATGGACACTATAGTAAATGTGAGGATGTATTGGCGTCTTTCTTTTTATGCATAATGGGCACCAAGTTTGAATTAAGGAGGGAAAGTTGCTTTTGTCTATAAGCTATGTAATGATTTTTTTTACTAATTAGGGATGATTTATTATGCTCATAAATGTTTTTGGAACATGAAATCACTCCTTTATTTTTTTGTTTAAATCTGCGAATCTTGATCATGCAGATAAATTTATAAATTTTGAAATTCAAAGCAGCTTTATTTATGATCTCTTATGGTTGTTTTGAACTTAAGATTTTTTATGCCAATCGACTGTGTGAACATATTTTTGTATTTTTACTCCACAAACATCCTGTTTCTAAAATGGTTTAAAATGTTATTGCTTGGTATGAACTTCAGTTGAAATAACAAGCCTACCTATTTTTGACTCAAAAAGGCCCATCAAGAAAAAATTATTTCAGAGAGTTGGTAACTTTTGTAAGGCGGCTTGCTTTATCCACCTTATATAGTAACAAAAGGTTGTCTTAATTTCAGCTTGATAACAAACCCTCTCCTTGGCTTCTGGTTTGAATGGAATTGCAATTTCATTGAATTATGATGCAATTTTTATTGGAAAGTAAAAGTTAGATATTTTTTTTTTATTTTAAAATCGCATACACATACTGACTCAATCATTATATTTTTGTTTTCTTACCCTCAATGGTAAAGACGTGTAAATGATTAGGAGAATAAGATTAAAGATTTGATTTGTTTCCATTTGATTCTAAAGTGTGCAGATATAAATCAGCCATTCTTCACATGAATCGATGTTTAAGGAGTGCATGATAAGGCATATAATTAATATGTTTTCATAGATAAAGTGATTGTGAATTAGAAATTAACATCTGAAGGGGATATTTATGAAAACAACTCTTTGAGGTCTTCATCTGCATTTATGTTCTCACATCCACCAAGCATCACACAAGCAGTGGTTTGTACCGTGAAGCTATTAAGCACTGCCAGCAAAAAATTAATATAAAAAAAATTACGAAAAAGTTGTGTTTCTTACTTTTTTTTTGGTTGATTTTTAGGGGTCTCACAAGGTATTATTTGCGCTTATTAGTTTCATACAAGAAGGTCTATCTTCTTGTGCCTTGGAATGCACAAGTCAACCATCATCATTGTTATCTATGATTGATATGGAGATGGACTCTCATATTCCTTATTTATAGCTTATTGATTTGGCTAATAATTTTATTTTGTCTTGAAAAATATGTCCAATATTTTTTGATTGCGCAACACAATTGTTCAAAACTTATTTCATTCTCTTGTTATTTTTTTCTTATTTTCTCTTTCCATATGTTGACGCTCCCACACCTGTGCCATGGGTTTAGTGGATGGAACCTTTCTCTCTGTGTAATTGGACCTCAAATGTAGATTGGGGTGGTGAATGGGAAGGTATGGCTAGATGGCCTATCTCACACACTCTCTCTTTATCATGAAATTACAACATGATGAGTTGGCGCTTCTCATTTTATCATTCTCTTTATCCTCTATTAGAATGATAAGCGAAGATTGGGATGGTTTTCTGTGCTTCTTTTGTCTTGTTGGGTCCATCAACCTCTAAGGGTATGTTACTGGGAGTAATTTTTTTTTTTTTTTAACATCGATGATTCCTTTGCAAAATTATAGCTGCGTGACCCTTAATTTTTGCTTGTCTAAACTGCAATGAGACATTTAAACACTTTATATATGGGATTGCAGCTTTGTTTTTATTTGATGAAAGATGATGTGGGCTATTATGTAATTATAGGCATTTGGAACATCTACCTTGCCTTGAGTTTAGTTGGTGGGTGCTTATTTCTGAGTTACTTTGCTATTGTAAATAAGGTTTTGAGGCATTTGCTTAAATCATTTAATGACGAGTAAAAGCATTATTTGGATTTGCAATCTTTCTCTTGAGATTCAATTATTTGAGATAATTGAAAAATATTAGCATGATATATGCTCTTCTTATGTCTTCTTTTCATTACTTCTGTTATTCTTCCACATTTTTTGATGTTTGTTGAAACAGAGATTATATTTATTTGGATTTGTTACGACCTATTTCTATTGATTGCCATGAAACCAAAATCATGTGAGTGGATTTTGTGACCCTTAGAGTTTTTAATCTATTTTAGTGGTTCTTAGATTTTTTTGTCTGAACTGATTTCTTATATTTATTAGTTTTCATTAAATGATTAATAGTTTGTATCTTATGAATTGAATGTTGGTTTTGTTATTTTTCACCCAATATAATGGGATTATTTTAGAATTGATGCTGTATTACTTTGTTTTCTATATGCATGAATTCATATCAAAGCCAATAAATAGGACAACAAGTTGCAATGTATGCAAAATTAGTTCAGTCATTATTCTAAACAATTTCAACGTAATTTCTATCTAGTTAAAGTAGCATTTATGTGATGAAAGATGTAATTATATATATAATTTATAAATAGTAGAATTTGCTAAAATAAGCTATTGGGATCCACTCAAGATAAATTTTTTCTACAAAAATAAAAGTACTTGTACTGACATGAATTATAAACATGACACAATTTCCCACTTTTGTATTCTGTAGATTAACAACTTTTAAGTGACTATAGTGCGTTTGAATGTTTTTTTTTTGTTCTAAAATTTAACGGCTAAATATTATTTGCCTAAAAAATTATTTTGTTAAAAGCTATTGTATTGTGTGTGTTAGGAAAGGAAATAGGTAATAATATTCAGATAAAGATGAGGTTTATTATAGTGCTTTAGAGTTTGAGATTATTGTAATTATTTTTTGTAAAGACTATTACATATTTGCATAATATTTTTTTAAAAAATTATTTGACATTTCACAGCCTTTTTAAAACAAAATACCAATAATAGGATCATACTAAAGAAAACTTTAGTTTATGAAATTTCTTTAAATAAGACAGAATATATATATATATATATATATATATATATTTATGTATGTATGTACACACACACTCTGCCCACACAAAAATCACAAAGGGCTCAAAAACTAGAAATATAGAAAAGTACATTCGAGAGTTAAAGAAAAAGCCTAAAAGCGTCGAAATACAAAATATTAGGCGGCTAGAGAGCGATCCAATTTGGCCTTGCCTCTGTCTCCAGTTATAGGGAAGAAAAAAACTAATAAGTTGGTAAGATGATTGCCATTGCCATTAGTAACCAATATATTATCCAATATGTTCCCAGGTTGGAGTCGGCCTCCATTATTCTTCTTCCTTCTGAAGTAAACCTATCATTCATCATCTGAATATTGACTCACCTGATATTGTTCTAAAGTGTGCTGGAGATGTGTAGACTTTTGAACATTAGAAGCAACTACATATTGTACTGGCTGATCTGTTGGTGGATCAAAAGAGCACTCTCGTGTGTCTTGACATGTAAGTGAGTCATCTTCAATAACAGTGGGTGGTATAAACACAACTGTAGTTTGGTGTTCTTTGTCAGGAATTGCGGTGTTGGAAAGAGGATCGAGTTGCATCTTCTCAACAAGGAAGATATGTGGCTGATTTTTAACGATATTCTGCCTTAGATGAGGATGCAAACGATAACAAATAGTAGATCTGTGGCCAAACATACAACAATGAGAGTAATGAGGTGGGTGTGGTTCTATTTTAACCTTTTGTCAATACCCGTTGTGAGTGGTTTCAATCCATATTTGATTCGGAGCTGGTTGAGTGATATATCTCTCAACTAACACACAAGCCACAGAGGATCTGGTGACATCA